CTTAAAAATACTTTTGCAGATTTTGATATTCAAGTTCACTGCTATAATCAGCAAATGTGCGTATCATGATGATAAAGCACATTTGCTAGGACGTTGGTTCAGCAAAGTAACTTGTAACATTACTCAGCTGTTCAAAGCATGTAATACTTAGACAGCAATTAAAAGGAAGAAGAAATTGAGGAAAAACGCCAAATTACTCACGGCAAAAATTCTACAGAGCCAGTGTTTCTGTGTTATGCTGCTGCATGTACAGTATGTTACGTGCATAAAATTCAAACCAATTAAAAATTTGATGATTACTTATAAAAAATGTAACCTTCCTTTTTTTCATTTTTGCTTGCACTCTAAGCAGAAATGAGTATTGTACATAGACAATTTAAAACACCAATTTACTGCAATTGTTTATTGGTTAAAGAAGGACACTCCCTCCCACTTCTCATATGACAGGTTAACCTAAACCACCTTTTAGGCGTTATTTTTCCAGAACCGCAATACTAATTTCATTTTGCCGTACAGTAAGTGGTACAACATAGTAAAATAGATTTTGAACCTGCAGAAGGTAGAACACACAGCAGAGGTTATGCTACATGTCCTCAGACAACTGCAAACAGTGTCCCTCCCTCCTGGTCTCTAAGATGACCGGGATAGATGGTTGGCTGGATAGATGGTTTACACAGCCCAGCCATATATCCAGATTTCTTCAGATATGTTCTCTTTTCTGACAAGAGATCAAATTTGAAAGATGGCCGACGATATTGAACGTTTGCCGCAATCTGTGGATATCCCCCAACATAATAAAGATTCAGAAATCTCAGGCATGCCCAACTGCAGCCATTCCTGTGACACAGGCTTCTGAACTATGTGTAGGCAGTCAGTCTGATGCATGTGAACAGAAATATGTAAACTCTTGATTATAAAGGTGGAGAACTTAGAATTGTTCTTCCTGGCACATCTTTCAGACTTGCCTGGTTAAAGTGACAATGATCCCTATCTTGAAAGGTGATTCTGTGATTGGATGTGGGAATGAGTCTCCAGACAATTAAAAAAAAAGAAGGATGGTCCAGACTATTTTGCAGTGTCTGCAAGGATTTTGAGATAGCTGTCATTTTGGACAGCTCCTCATTCTGCAGTTTGAAATAGAAGAGCTCAGACTCAAGTGCCCTAGTAAGCCAGAGTCTGTTATCAGACCTTAACATAGAGTTGCTGGATTATCTTTTCATTCTAAACTGTTTAAATTCTGGGTGGTTGGAGAAGGATAGTCCAGACTATTTTGCAGTGTCTGCAAGGATTTTGAGATAGCTGTCATTTTGGACAGCTCCTCATTCTGCAGTTTGAAATAGAAGAGCTCAGACTCAAGTGCCCTAGTAAGCCAGAGTCTGTTATCAGACCTTAACATAGAGTTGCTGGATTATCTTTTCATTCTAAACTGTTTAAATTCTGGGTGGTTGTTTGCTTTCTCATGGAGAGAAAAGGCCTGGATCTATTCAAGTCTTCTTTCAAATCAATATACTAGATAATTTAATGTTGTGTAAGACGTCTCTGTAGCCATACAGTCTGTGATTTTCATGAAGCCTCTTGATGCCTCTGAAAAGAGTAAGAATATATTATGTCCTCTTACGTTAAAGGTCTATGCATTACTGCAACACAACATTGTTACGGGAGATGTAAAAAATCCATATATGGAGCCAGCAATAATAGGTAACTGTTAGGATGACACTTCATAACATACAGCAAACTGAGACCCTATTGCTGAGCTACGGCAAAGAAGCCCTCTGTAACTAACCTAACCTGCTATACATCAGAGAACTTCACACACTTGCGCTCCACTGATGGTCTGTATTTTCATTCCAGTCACTGGAATCTTTGATGAATTACATTGTCGTATATAATGAAGTCTTCACAGGAAAACTACTGTAGTTTATTTTGAAGCTTGGTCACAAGAAGGCAAGTCTAGAAAAACAGGAAATGCAAATATTGTAGTGCATTACCTTGTTTATTTTGCATTCCCCTGCACCTTGAAATGGATTCCCCTTTTCCCTTGAAATGGATCATTCACAAATCATGCTTTTTAAAAGTTACAAGACACATCTGTCATTCTCGCAGAATTAACCATTTTTTATTCAGTTGCTCTCCCTTCTTTGCTTTTACGTACCAACTTTGCCTCAGCTTTTTTTTTTCACTTTTCAGTCTTCCAAATGGAATCAGTTGCATCTTCCTTTCAGTCTCCTTTGTTTCTTTAAGCAGAATTTGTCAATCTGTGAAACCAAATTAGAGCCACACTGTATAAAAAGGTAGCCTCCACCTTCCTTTATCCCTCAGAAACAACCCCCCAGTCTCCAATGAATACCAATGAAACCTGAAATTTATGTAGCTCATATGCAACTTTTATGTAACTTGGAACAAGTTTTCTGATCTGTTTAGCAACAGCAGATTTATTTATTTGTTTATGGATTTGCAATGTCAAATGCTTTAAGAACACTACATTGTTGTTGGAAAAGCATATTAGTTAAACTATTTAAAAGATTCTTTGTACTTTAAAACGACGTTTTCATCTAGTAAATATTCTCTTCATATTCAGAAGGATCAAGTTGTTTCGCTATAACTGAGCAAATGAGAAAGCCTGAGAAATAAGCAATGTAGAAAATAAACATTAATTCAATATATTTGTTTATATTTGGATTTGTTAGTGACTTAATAAGTTACAGACTAAATATTGTTAGATGAAAAAACACTACCAGCATGTAAAGAAGACCAAACATGTCTGGCTACTGACTTTGGAGTTTACATCCAGCAAAAAAAATCAGTTCCGCTTTCAGGATCTATTGTTATTATCTGAAACGTGGCATCAAGCAGTGTGCCCACAAATGAAGACTTAAGGATGACTGTATGTATTTGTTATGTGTATATATTTATTTTCTAACAAAACCAGTGGCTTGTAGACTAGAACTCGCTGATTGGATGATTCGTCCCTACAAACAGCGTTTGACACGGCACGTTGAATGAGATACGGTCATGCCCGATATGCACCAAGAGGCGCAGGCTCACTGTACGCATTCAACAGCGACAAAATCTCAGTACGATGGATTCTTTAAGCTGTTTTTATACATATAAATGCCAAAACACTGTACATAGGGAGATAAGTACACGCTAATGGAAAAAGACAAATGCATTTCCAATATTCTAGATACTAAGCGCTTAAATTTATATATCATGGAAATGAAATAACTGGAAATTATCCAGTCTGCTACACTTCTTCCCCCAACGATCATATTCCCTACTGCACTTTTGAGACTGAACAGGCAAGATGAAGGTTGTCTTTAACTTGGGAGACTACAGGCTCACTTTAAGAAAAGCAGTATTGCAAGAACTAAGACTTTCACCTGTTTTTCTTCTTAATCTCTTCTTCCCTGTTCTGCGTTAGTTTTTTTTTTTACAGAATGGTTCTTAACCTGTGGCAGGAACATCGACACGGAGATTGTGAAGGCAGTCTGCACAGCACGCTACATTCTCCGTTCAGCTGACTGGATGGCTGCAACCTGCAGGTTCTGCCCTCCAGGTTCGGGATGGGATGAACGCGTTCCGAAGGCCCAGGTGTAGCGGTCCCACCATAAAACCGAGTCGTTATCAAACACACCAACTGCCCGTGCCAGCACTGGAACCTGAAACTGGAAAACCTGCCCTGTGACCCCAGCAAACCGAAGCGGTTTGCGTACCGGTGTTTACCGCTGTCAGTTGTTTGTAAACTACAGTCTCGTATGAAGCGTTTTGCACGAACCTCAGTTCTGTGCTGCTTTCCTGACGAAAAGCACCGTAAACCGGGCACGAAGGGCAGGCCTCCGGCC